TTTCACATCACAGAAGAAAATGATAGGCACAAACATCAAAATGCCAGACTGGCAATAGGAAACTGTTCACTTACCTCACGATCCAACAGTACAGGCGACACCACTGTAACAATATCTCCCTTTTCCGGGTCAATATAGAACATATTTGGAGATGGTTTGGTAGGTGTCTGTTTGAGGATGTTATACCGCAGAAGAGCATTGTCTGTGCTAGAGTCATCAGCATCGAATGCTGTCATGCGCATCACAGTCGTTCCTAAGGGAAAAGAGGACAGACAACAAATGCAGTTAGCAAGAACGTGTAAAATTATATTGCCTTCACATGTGAGAACCAGGTGGGTACAATACATCATTATCTCAGCAAGACCACTAAGTAGCTTCACCTGATGCTTAGTCTGTACCTGTATTATTTTTGCTTGGTACTAAGCCAACAAGAAAAGAGAAGAGTTTCTGGTTTACAACAGACATAAGACCCTGACATAAGTTTACCATATTTGTATGCTTTTTTGCCATTTATATTAATTACATTTTACCAAATGAACTACAGATGTATCTTTTCCACTGTAAATTCTACAAGTAGAAAGGCTACAGTGTATTTATGATGAAGATGACAATGCTGAAATAAGAAAAATATCTCTATTTTCACTTTAATGTTTTGCACAGTTTCAGAATTGGCTGAACGTTATAATATCTGTCAATAAATTTTGTAACGATTAAAGCCTTCATTATTCTAATTTCCATTTGTACAAAACAATGGGTTTGTTGCATTAGCCTCAATAAAAAAAACCAAACAAACAAACAACAAAAAACTACCTCTATTGCCAGGCTATCCTTCGAGCGATGAAGTTTTTTTTATCATGAAAATCCTATAGCACACGGTTCTGCTATAGAGTGCAATAAGGCAAACACTGCTGACTGCACAGATTCCTAAATGATGTACAGAGTTAAAACCTCAGTTGTCTTCTACACCACAGATAATACAGGGAGGACTGAGATGGTGCTAATTCTCTACGTAGCTAGTGGAACACATACTCCTGCCTCACAGGACCAAGCCTTTTCCTCTCCCGTAGACTGGCACACCAGAGGCTGCCATAGCCTACAGAATTGTCACAGCATTCTTTTATTTGCTTTTTTACAGTACATTGAGAACAAAAGAAAGGAAGTAATAAGGCACCTGGGCTGAACCGTGAGATATTCACCCCTAAACCATTACGATTTCTTAGTCAGTTCATTTATAGGTATAAATGTAAGCCTTATTTTTTTTAAAAAATCTAACTAAAATAATATATCATCACACCAAACCCAAAGTATTACTGGTAATATCGGCCTGAAGAAAGAATAAAATCCTACAAAATAACAAAAGTCATGATCAAATCAACAAACTAGTTTCAGTGGTGAATCAAAGTTAAGTAAGTGATTAATGCAAAAAGTATTAGCGAACTTTATACAAAATAAGGAATCTAGGAAGGTATCCATTCTTTTGCCTAAAAATCCCAGCTAAAACAATTTATCAAATTCCATCAACTACACAATTTGCATTTAAGTAGCGTAGCACTGAAACTATGTTATCTAATGTGTGAACCACAATGTCAAAGTGAGTTATAATTCTTTGTTAAAGATTAATTCTTATGTGGCAGTTAAACCTTTCTTTTCCCCCACAGGCTTTCAGTGGGCAAGTATTATTTTAAAATATCATGTAAAAGACAAACCTTTTCATTTCTTAACAGGTCTGTTAGACCATATGATCTGTTCTCAGTATCCACATAGCCTTTTTATGTGGCAAAATAACTACAAGTGATTAAAACCTGGTACAGGCAAGGCCTAAGACATTACATTGGAAGTGCCCGCAGAACAGAAATATATATCATTCATGTACAATGATAAACAGTGAATTGATATTCTTTGTGAAGGTCTTGAAGCACAGATCACTTCAAAATCAAATAAAAATGAAATATTGCGGTAAAAGTAAAAACAAAGCCAGCTTCATTTATAGGCTGACATAACACCTGCCTGGTTCACTGTTAAACAAACATAACTGGCTTGTTTAGATATGTTTCTTCTTTTTTTCTTTTGCTCTACTTCCCAGAGTACCAAGTATTGCCTCTTGTTGTAGTGACCTTGAATATAAGCTCTCAAAGGTTTTGCTTCATTGCTGCTTCAGGCAGAGTTACCCCCTTGAGAAAAATAACAGAGATCTGACAGTGTGTTGTTTTTATTCACCAGTGATTAAAGGTCAGACAGCTCAAAAAGCAGCTTACCACTGGATACTGTGCCATGTTTTCCAATATTACAAGATGATCCTAGCCCTGATATTTTCACCTACTTTGTTTGAGACTTCTTCAGAAGAAAAAAAGAAAAAAAGCAGCTTTCTGTTTTGAAGAATGAAGATTCACCCTCTTTTCACTAGTACAACACACTGCTTTTTTTAGGTATTTATCGCATTTTGAGAAATTATTTATATTCATATTAGCTAATGTGTTTGCAAAGATCTTCTAAGTCACAAGACTTCAGTAAAATAAATAAGAATTAAGGAAAATCTTCAAAGGATCTTAGAGTGTCCAAGTACAAGTGAAATTTGTTGGGTTTGTTTCCTGAAAAATGTGATTTCGTAAGATGCTATACTCATGTATATTAGACTATATTTTAAATTAATATACAATTGCTACCATTATTCTATTAGATGAGTTAATGCACAGCAGAGCTTTAGAAACTGATTAAAATATATACTCAGCTAGAAATCCTATACTGTTGTCCTAGACAGTTCTACTAAAACATTTCTGATGATAAAGACTGTGGAAGGTACATGTAGATTTTAAAATCTGATGTACATCTCCAAATCTCAAGTTACTCTGGCATAGAACTGGTTAAAGACAATGGCTGAATCTGATTCTGATTTGCCAGCTGCAGTTCTTTAACCTTTCAACTCACTGGACATTATCTTGTTCTGTGCAATCATTCCTTTGGTGCATACAGATAAGAAATTCCAGTAACACAGAAGAGCAGAATTTTCCATTCATTTTACATTTTCCAGAAGGAAAGCTGTAGAGAATTAGACCCATTTGTTTTTATGTTGCTTTTGTCAGAAGTTTTGAGATACTGTTTTCTAGCTACATGTCCTGGTTTCGGCTGGGATAATTTTCTTCATAGTAGCCAGCATAGTGCTGTGTTTTGGATTTAGTGCCAGAAGAATGTTGATAACACACTGATGTTTTCAGCTGTTGCCAAGTAGTGCTCAGACTACTCAAGGACTTTTTGAGCTTCTCCTGCTCGGCCAGGTGCAGAACAAGCTGGGAGTACAGCACAGCTAACCCAAACTGTCCAAAGAGCTATTCCATACCATATAACGTCATGCTCGGGGGGGATTAGTTAGTTCGGGCAGTCACGGGGAGACTGCTCGCGGCTTGGGGAGACTGCGCGCGGCTCGGGGACTGCTCTCAGCTCAGGACGGGCTGGGCATCGGTCGGCGGGTGGTGAGCAATTGCCTTGTGCCTCATTCGTTTTGTATATTCTGTATATTCTGTTATCATTCTCATTATTACTATTATTATTTTCTCTTATTAAACTGTCTTTATCTCAGCCCTCGGCTCTAACCTTTTATTTTCTTTCCAACTCTCTCCCCCATCCCACTGAGGGAGGGGGGAGTGAGCGAGCGGCTGCGTGGTGCTGAGTTGCCAGCCGGGTTAAACCACGACACTACCAAAGTGGCTTTTACATTAAGTAAAAGTTATCCTGTTCTCACAAGTTCATACAACCTATGTAAATGCACATAAAATTGGGGTTGTCTTTAGATATCATTATGCATTAGTACAGCCCATCTAAAGTTGTATCTGTTTTCTGTTCATGAACGTAATACAGAAAACTAACACCTCTTTAAACATCACCTATATGCTCGCACCGCCAGAAAAACCAGAGTAGCTGCTGAAAACTGTGGCTGGAAACAAAAAGGGAGCCCTTGCACTGAGCTGAAAGTTGGAGCTAGGCTTCCACAGCCATGCTGAGAACGGCTTATCCTCAGGAACGTAGCCTTTACACTCTTGTGCTCACAAGCAGGTTTGCAAACTAACCAGAGTTCACTGCTGTGCCTTCATTTCAAAGCACAGTGGTACCCACTCTATGTTCTATTCCATTAAAACAAAACAAACAAAAAACCTCATTTATATACAAAAAAGCTAGAATGGGCTAGTATTTGTAGTTGACGCCTCAAAAATCAAACCAGCTTTAAAGCAGCCGCTAAAATATATTCCAGGGACCTTTTGGAGAAGTCTGATAGCTATATTTCCAGGGAAGAACTTTCCTGTCCTAGTTGGTGTGTTCACAGAGAGAACACACATGACCATACATTTGGGATTGGACTACCACAAAAGATAATGTTTATAGAGATCTCTTTCCTAAAAATATAGTGACACAAATTTTTATTTTAAAAGGCTCTACAGCATACATCTGGTCCAAAAGAGTTTAACTCAAGATGCACGCTTCCTCAGTATTACTCCTTCATCATAAAGTTTTATTCTTCATAAAAGATTCATTTCCCCAGACCCATAAACTGACTACTTCTAATTCAGTGTCATTTTATAAATACTTCCATTCCTGGCATAAATCAAATGCAGCTGGCTTTCAAACCACAAAACAACAGCTTGCTACATTATCATGTTAAACAATATATATTAACTTATCAAGCTGAGGAAGAAACGTCTGCAAAATCAGCAACTTTATAGATCTGCCAGCGATGTGCGGATACTCACTGAGGCAGTCTCTCTCAGTAAAGGTATAGTTATGCCTCGGTATTATTTCAATATTCATGGGTTTTTTTCACACCTTCTGGGCAGTTTCACTATTGCCATAATCACTCAAAACCTCTACTTGCACCTCCCAGAGTTCCTCATTGATCAGACAGATATCCCACTAGCCAAGTCATTGCTCCAGAGGCTGCAGCTATCAATCTGCTGATTGCTCATTTGGCCTGCAAGTTGGCTTGGAAATATTGGCAAAAAAACTCCCCTTAGGCATTAAGAAGTAAAACACAATGCTTGCACAATTTTGGGGTGATTGGAGCAAAGGATTTCTTGGGAAAAAGCTCTTTGGCATTTTGTTATTTACCTCTTAATAGCCTTTATATTTCCTTCTTTCTTTCTTTTCTTTCTCTTTCTTTTTCTTTTTGGGGTGCTTTTTTTTTTTTCTGTCCATTTGCCAAGAGAACATCAGAAACAGTTCAGCTGATGGATGAGATTACTACTAATGCCCTATCCCTCTCATTTA